TGTCGTCTATTCACGAGCGAAAGCGAAAGCGTCGTTGACGTGTCAACAAAAGCGGCGGAATCTCAAAGCCCGACAAAATGCACACCTTGCCATAAAGACCAATAACAACTAGAGACAGAAATTGATCGTTAGTACAGCCTTGGAGAATCTGGAGAGGAGGAAAGAGAGCAACTACTTACTGCGACCAAGCGCCTCGTCGCCTTGCTTCATGTCAAAGTAGACCTTGTTGGTGATGACAGGTCCCTTGGCATTTGCAAAGGTCGTGAAGACCGAGGCAAACGAGATGAGTGCGAGAGGGAGCAGCGTTTTGAGAGCGATCATTTTTTGGGTCGAAAGTGAGGGGGAGGTTGCTTTGTTCATTCAGTCAGGTACCAAATTCATCCTTGGCCACCCGTAACGACCAAGCCAAAACTCACTCTAGGCAGAAAAATGTAAAGGAAAGTGGTTCTTATAATGATATAATATACAGGAGAACACTATATCTTAAGGGAAGGTGGGCCCACAAGAGCCTGTAAGACACTTGACACAGTATCCAGTATCCTTGGCACATTGGGCCTGATAGTTTGCGCACGACGCATTATTTGGGAATGTAGAACTAGAGTAGCACTTCAAGCTATCTTTCCAGCATTCGTACGAGGAGGCACTATCGAGAGCCAGGTCAATCTCTACATTCCCGTGGAAATGAAAAATACTCACAGGCAATTTCCAAATTTGTTGAATGTTGGGAGCTCCTTTGCGCACCATGTTCCATAAGTCTTTGTACTGCATCGAGTTCCCGTTGAGGCCTTGCACAATTTGACTCTGGCGACCGAAGGGTCATGGTCAGACGTACGGTCACTGTACTTGACCCAGTTGTTGATATGCAAGTGCTCGACCTCTGCTCCGGGCTGGAGCTTAGCGCTAATGAAGGCGTGGTCGAGTTGCTGCGAGTTCATGTCGAAGACATAGGTGTAACGCTCGACAGGAGGGATTCCCGCGGCTTCATCAATGTCCTTGAGATGGGCGTGGAGAGAATCGTAGACGGCATTAGTTTGTCCGTATTCGTTAAAGTCACCAGATGCGATGATGGAAGCATTGGAGTTGATCGCCAAGATGGAGCCCACAAAGTCCTGAAAGGAGCTTGAGAAACCTGAAAGAGAAGAATGTATGACTTACTGCAAGCAATTTAACTTGAGCGATACGCTTATCGACGACACCATTCACGGGTGGGCGGGCATCACCATGGATGGAGCTCGAGCCACCTTTGGAAGACATGTGTACATTGATAGCAAACAATTTTTCTCCTGAAGTGACACTTTCAAAGAGTGCGACGAGGGGCTTGCGAGTAGCATTCCAAGCAGTATTGGCAGGGTCGATACGACCAGGATTGAATCTGACACACTGGTAAGAAGGGAGAGGGTATAAATGGAGAAAACTTACGTGAGTCCAACCTCTCCATTCTGGTTGACGGCCTCGGTCTTGTCTGTGGAACCGCCATAGTTTGGATTGACCAATTTGAGCCTCTCAGACCGGTACAAGAATGCGGGGCGGATATTTCCTCCTGGTTCACCACCATCTTGGTCATTGACGGGAGCAATGTAGGTGTAGCTATAGTTGGCACCTCCATGAGCCGTGATGGCACTGACGAGCGTGTCCAAGGTCTTGTTCGAGCTGACAACACCATCGTCTGTAGGACCGGTATCGTCCTGCACTTCTTGAAGGAAGACAAGATCAGGGTTCTTGAGGTAGTCGCTGATGTGGGTGGCGACGGTGGGCAAATGAGTGGAGTTGAAGGTCATGTTTTCAACATTGTAGTCGCCAAAGGTGAGAGTGCAGTTGGCATCGTCGGCAGGGACTGTGAGAGTAGTAGGGCCTTGGAGAGTCGTGTTGTGCGCGATGACAGTGGGAGCGGTGAGAGGGAGGATTTGGTAAAAGCCAAAAGCATAAGTTGCGACACCAACGATATCTGAGACGGTGGAACCCATCCTGTCGAGTAACATTAGACTTCGCATTAGATGAGGCGAGAGTGCTTACCAGACATCTGGGTTTTTCGTGCCATCGAGAGGCGAGCCAATAGATACGGTCTCGGGGTTGAGATCAGGCAGACCATCATCTCCTGTTGATCAAGGTTAGCATGTATAGAGACTGAATCAAGTGCACATACCCAAAGTGATAGTCAAACCTCCTCTGCCATTGAGTCCAGTGACGGGCCAATCTCCCCTCACCCAGAAATCCTTGTAGGAATTGGGATAGCTGACCGCAGTCGGACTGGTGATCTTGACGAGTTTCCCTGAGAGGGATTCCCAGAAATCCAATCCATATTGATCGGGTTTGCGAGTTGGGTTGGCCACAGACACGAGGCTGGCGTTATTCGGGACTGCCAGCACTCCCCCTACATCCAAAGACGAGAACTGTTGAGTTGGTGGATGCAATCCACTGGACCCTATCACGATCGGCGTCACGGTATTTCCGGACGAGAGTTTAGTGATATTGGTAGGACTGGTGAGTTCGGTGAGATAGATATAGTCCTTGTTGCTCCTGTATTCAGCGACCTTGGCGTTGAGTGTCACGATATCTCCTGGAGCGACCTGAGCGAGTATGGTCTTGCTGGTGCTGTAAACGTAGACTGCGTTATCCGAGTTGTTGTCGCCAGCGCTAACGGACGAGAGCCAAAATCCGGAGCTGGAATTTGCCTGGACATATGTATACAAGGCTATGGTCAGTCAAATTCGTAGGTTATTTCGATAAATCTATACGGACCGTGACGAGTCCGGTGACATTAGTGACGCTCTGGCCCGCAAATGGGGATTGGTAGGCAGACCCTGCGTACTTGGTAAGAGAGCGTTCATGTTTCTGAGAGGCATAAATTACCTTGCAGTTCTGCAATCTCTACAGCGAGTACTGTAGGCAGTAGCTTGAAGAGGGTAATGAGACGCATGGGAGGCGTAACGAGAATCCAAAAGAATGACGAGGGAAACTCAGTGGATGGCTAATGTAGCCGGGGGAAAGAAATGCTGGATCTACAGAAATTCTTCAGAGGCTCTTCTTATAAGTTTCGTTATTCGGATGCACGTGCAGAGCTTTCCCATGCGTATGCTCTCCCCCGGGCCCACGGCTCCTGAGGCTGGATAGAAATGTCTCGGAAGGTTAACAGCGAATGAATATAATCGGGGATTGCATTCTAGTGGTAGGAGATACGCCGTCCAACTCAGTATGGTCTGGTCGAAGCACCATATGCAGCGCGGCACACGTTCTTCGCTACTCACTCACAGCATGGTAACCTTATCCATCAGAACAGCAAGAATATTCCTTTTCTCAGGAGATGAAACTATCCTACAGGGACGAGTATTAGAGGCCTCCTTTGCCCTTCTACTTGCCGGTCGGAGGTGGCTCGGTTTTGCGAAATACATTGGCTCGATACCATTGAAGCTCTGCCATCAGTCAGCCACAAGCCCGTCCGGCAAAGAAGGACTCACCCATAATGGACGCTTGGATGTCATCCATGGCACTGGATAGGTGTCAGTAGAGTCTATCGGACATTCAATTTTCCCACCGGTGCTGGACCCCGCCCGGGTAATAATCCTCTGGTGGTCGCTCCAATTTGGGATACCAACGCCGCTTCAATTCCTGTAAACAGTAAATAAATACGGAGAAATGATCGGAATCATCACCCACCTTTATAGAGCTCACATCTGACAGATATTCGTTATACAGTACTACTGTTCATTCAAAGCACTCACCCACAATCCTATCAAAAGTCAGCAGTGATCGCTCTTGAAGGGAACACGTACCGATAGTGCAACCAATCAGTAATAGTTGGCATGTATTTCACTAAAAAGGTCCTAAATAGATAGTCAGGTGGAAGAAACACTCCACGAAAAACCAACTCGCCTATCTGCATGAACGGAGCTTCCAGCCAGTACACCAGTTCGCATCTCCGGTACCCATCGTTGTATATAGCTGAGAACGTCGGCTTCTACCCATTCATGTGTTTTGGTCGACTCGATGCATTCTTTTGTCAACCCTGTCTATGGACAGTCATTTTTTTCACAGTTCAGTGTGATGAAATAATATTAACCCACATCTCTGTGAGTCTTGATGCACCATTCATCCATTCTATAAACACTTAGTGCATGCTACATGCAAGGGGGACACGCACTTGCCTAGGCGTTCTTCTGGTGTTTGGATCACGTGGCTAATTCCTTCGTGAACACGTTTCAAATCTCCATTTGTAATGACAACAGCTATTTCGAGCAAAACATCTTTCTTGTAGTCGAGGCCGGTCATCTCGCAATCGATCCACACAAGTGGCCCGTCGTCTAGCTTCAGTGGGCGCGGGTTTTCCATCATTTGAAGCATATTGGAGCTGATTGCACGAACTCGTGGTGCCAACGAGTTGGTAGGAGAACGGTG